GTTTTATTTTTTCAAAGATACGGAGCAGTCCTGGAAATTAATGAACGCACCTTGTATATAATATATAATAATCAAGAATTAAAAATGAATTTTAAAGCAAATAAATGTTTCATAATACTAAAATAATCAACTTTGAAGAAAGGTTACAACTGTGGTGTGTAACTAGATCATATCCCATTGGTAAATATCGGTGTTTTTATGACTCTCTGAAGCTGGGAATACGTGAAATGACATTTTTATTTGTCCAAAATGGTGATATGTAGAGAATGATTTCTCTTGATCCATAGAAGCATAGGGCGCTTCTCCCGTCAAAATAAACGTCGAAAAATGACGCCATCTATTGACCGTTGCCGCAAACTAGCGGCTTCGGGTCGGTGACAAAGCCACAACACCAGCTTTGGCAACATCTCTTTGGTAGATGGTGAAGATTCCACTAGTTCCCGTGTGGATCTCATTGAATAAAGTCCGCCCTAGACTGACGAGGGCCATTACCCCGAAACCATGGTCTCTAGGTGGACGCTTCTCAATTTGCCAAAGCTGGTGTTGTAGCTTTGTCAGCGACCCGAAGCCGCTAGTGTGCGGCGACGGTCAATAGATGGCATCAGTTTTTGACGTTTATTTTGACGGGAGAAGCGCCCTATGCTTCTATGGGTCAATTTCCTCCCGGCAATTTTTCCATCTATATATATATATATATTTTTTTTTTTTTTCAAATTGAATACAACACTCTCATTACCGTTAATTAGTATTCGGCATATTTTTGTCTACCATTTATACCACCAAAAATTTCAAAATAACACAATAAGAACAAATACAAATTAATAGATATAAATATTTACAACTAGCGGACGTACCCGGCTTCGCTCGGGTTTTACCCGATTAAAGGTTTGTCTAACGAATCTCTCGATAAAGTGAACATTTTACCCGGTCCCTTGAAAAATACTCGATAAGTTGAATAAAATCAATATTAATTGGTTCCCTCGATAATTTGTGGTTGAAGGAATAGCATCTTGCCTTGGAATTGTATCATTATTCTTGTATGGACGTACCCGGCTTCGCCCGGGTTTTACCCGAGTAAAGGTTTGTCTAACGAATCTCTCAATAAAGTGAACATTTTTTCCCGGTCCCTTGAAAAATACTCGATAAGTTGAATAAATTCAATATTAATTGGTTCCCTCGGTAATTGGAAGTTAAAGGAATAGTATCTTGCCTTGGAATTGTATCAATATTCTTGTCTCAAATAAATTGCCGTGTCATCCTGAATTTTGTCTTTCCTAATTTTCTACATTACAAAATCATCGTATCATCATGATAATATTTAGAGCAGATTGTTGAATTATAACAGATAAATTAGAATATTTATCTTGATTATTTTAAAGCGAAAAGTTATTTCAAAAATTTTATTTGCTAGAAACCTTCCCAGTACTATACTAAATAACTTCTCAAAGTTTCATGGCGTTCCAATGAGTGGTTTGGTCAGGCATAAAGGACAGACAGACACACACACACACACACATACATTCATTTTTATATATATAAGATACACAATAATAATAATAATAATGGAAAATAACACCTCCTTTGCCGATCCCAAGCCCGGATGAAAAAGGAGGAGGAGAAGCAGTAACAAACTCACTAAAAAAAACCTGGTCTCAGCTGGCCCGGCTGATAGTACCCTGCAAAAGCTCTTGATCCAAGGATACAGGATGAGAAGCGTTTGTACTCCATGTTAGGAGTGGCTGCTCAATGACGTCTATTCCTCATTTCAGAAGCGGCCATTTCTTTTGGAGCTAAGTCAGCCTACTACTGAGTAGTGCTCCCAGTCTTAATGATAAAGGAAGACGCATTCTACTTCACCCAGTGAGATAATAAAGAAGAAGAAGATAATTGGAAATAATGATAGGATGATATTTATTAGAGATAATACCTCTCTTCTCCATAAAAATGCAACAATACAATATATTCTATTGATAAACTTTGCGCAAAACGTGCAGATTCATTTTTGTGCCAGATTCAATCAATTTCACAATTCCTCTCGTAGGATGTAACTATGGCATACAGGTTGGTTGAAATGCCTGAATTTCACAATGCAGATGTTTTGGTTTATCCATTTAAATGAATTTGTGCCTTCTGCTCAAATAATATCAACATAATACATTGCTCTGGTAAATTATTATAAAAAAGAGGGGAGTTTTATCGCTGATACTCAATATAAAAACTGATTTTATTATAGCAATTGATATTTTCATTGGCATTTGACCACACAAAAAAAGGTTATTATTGGCATCAAAATTCTTGTGATAAAAGATAGAAGAAAAAGAAAGTATTCCACATCTGTAAAGGAAATGAGAGAATTTCTGTGTAGAATTCCATTCCAGATGTTTTTAATTGTTTCACTTCCCAAGTCAACACGTTCTCTAATTAAAGTTTTAATTAAATCCTACTGAACCAAATATTAATTAGTTTTCGCCACACAAAACACTTTGCTAAATTGAGGGGTGCTACTTGCAGGGTTACTTGCCGCCACATAGTGATAAAATGTCATTTGACATCAATCCGACTTCTGATTGTGGGGACATCGTGACATTTTGTTTATAAAACAAAGCAGTCGGCCGTGGGGCGAAACGTTTGTTCTAACTTAGAAAAATTTCAAGTTTTCAAGCCTACCGCTCTTCTACAAGCTGTAGATAAATAACGATAATTTTATTATTTTTAGTTAGTTTATAAAAAAAGATAAGGCATCTTTATCGTCAAAAAAGACGCATAAACCTTACAAAATCTCATATCCGTCTCTAAAAGCTATGATATTCAGATCTGTAACATAGCCGCAACACCAGCTTAAGGGTTAAGAACGTCGACCTGTGGAAACCATGGTTTCGGGCTAACGATCCTCGTTAGGTCAGGGCAGGCTTTGACTTCATGTGATCCACACAGGATTCACGAAATCCTAAGAATTTGCTAAAGAGGTGTTAATCTGGAAAAATGGCTAGGCTATATCTAGACAAGTTGCTATTTTATCGCCATAATTTTAAACTTGAATGTGGAAATGAAAGATTACATCTTCCATCAAAATAGACGCAAAATGACTTGCCTTGAAAACTTGTTTAGGAGAGGCCATAATGTTACCATGTTTTAGGGATGGTAATTCATGCGAATTTTTTGTGTATTTATTTTCATCTATTTCCTCTCAGTTATGCAGTGTAACATTCGAGCGTAAATCTCCCAGTTAGACATCTCGATATTTTTAAGAATGTTCTTCAGAACTGACTGGAAAGCAGGTTACAGTTTATTGAATTAAACACAAGATATTAAGACCAAATCCAAAAATATAATAAGTATGTGACGTTTCGGTAGCAACGTTGTTATCCTTGTTGTTACCCAAACGTCACACACTACTTATTTATTTTTTATTTGGTCTTATTATTTTGTGTTTATAATCTATAATCGAAATTATGCCTCATCAGTTTAGTGAAGTCTTGTATGTCTTGAGTTGAGGTCGGCATCAAATTAGAATAATGCTAGGGTATTCAATTCTAAATTGAAAATTTCGTACAATGTGTTCTTCTCTCAATATGAAAGTACAAGACAAGCTACAGTATTCTTGATTGAAGGCAACATACCTGGGGTATATGAAATTAAATAAAGAATATAAAGTAAGACTATGCGCTAACTCCCTATTCTCTAATAGGTTATCCCAAGCTATAAAATCCAAAGGGGACGACAAACGCTAACGATACAAATGGAAGGGTTTGGGTACCTGATCAATATGGGAGAACTCAGGTGGAGTAAGATCAGCAAGAAAATGGTGATGATTCTTATGCTTACGATTCTGGAATGATAAGTACACGGCTAATGTCTAGGCGCGTTCTGCAGAAATACCATTATTCTGCTTGTCTTTTGGTTTATACTTAGGATTATTTATTCCTTATTATTATAATTATTTATATATTCTAATTATATATATAGATATATATGTGGAATTAATAACATTTGTATATGAACATTTTTGTCAAAATGAAATTTTAAGAGAAATCACTCCCATCAAAATAGATTTTTCAAAGTAGCTCACACATATCGCTCTTCAGACAATTCGGAACACTGGATGAATCCCTTGTAGGTCTATTGAAATCAAAGCCCGACCTCGATTGACGAGAGTCATAGCCTGTAACGAAGGTCTTTATGTGGGCGTCGTGAATTTGCCAAAGTTAGTGTTGTGGCTTTGTCACCGACCTATGTCTTCTAGATTGTAGAAATGGTCAATAGGTGACGCATATGTGTTTTATATTTTTAAGATTTGAAATTTGAATTTTATATGTTAAATATGGATGAAAAATTTCCAGGGAGAGAATAATGGTCTATAAAAAGACATCACACCTACCGGTCAAAATTCCAAAAGCTTATTTTGATCGAAGAGGTGGCCTATATTTTTATAAACAAATATCCTCTCATCAAAATTTCCCTCTGTATTTCTGTCCTGGGTTCGACCTAGTCACTTTGTCAAACAAACGCAACAATGGTAAGTTCTGAGGATTGCATGAATCCCGTGCGGATATGATGAAAAATCAAAGCCTTCCATAGACTGATAAGAACCATTATTCCTAAACCATAGTCCTACCATCGTTCAGGCTTTGGCCTACATCAGTCCAGGGCGGATCAATATCCTCCAGTGAAAATCTCCCCCTATATATTTGGCCCAGGAATTTTGACAGCAAAACACCACCTATACACACCTATACAGCAGATTGTGAAGATTCCATTTTATCCCTTGTGAATAACATGGGAATATAGCGCGCCATGGGCTGACGCAAGCTATTAGCCTGAAACCATAGTTTCCAGGTGGACGCTTCTCAGTTTGCCAAAGCTGGTGTTGTGTCTTTGTCAACGACCCGAGTCTACTTGATTACGGAGAGAATCAGAAGATAGCGCTTAGCTTATGAGTTTATTTTGATAGGAGGCGCGACTTTTTTTCCATTGATCAATTTTAAAATTTGCGTATTTTCGACTAAAAAGCCTAGTGGACATGGCATCTGCCCGGTAAGAAGAACACTGTGGGTTTGATTCCCATCTCTAGGCACTTTTATTTTTCCGTTCATCATTACTCTTCACAAATCATCATTTCATACTTCATCCCTAAGGATAGGAATAGTCGTTATTTTTCCTTAAATAATGAAAATCACGATTTTTCGTTCTGTAAAAAGAAACATTTTCGGTAAAGCTTGTTAACGTCGTTTTATATATATGTGATAAGGTTTGGTAGCCTCTTGTAAAATCCTGTCGACTAAAACTGTGGTGAGGTATCCAGTCGACTTAAACTGTGGTGTGAGTTCCCGTCAACTCTCGCTATACTGTGTTGACCGAGAGGAACAGTCAGGATGAGGAGTTTTCCAGTACCTCTCTGCACCTTGTAAGACCTTTAAAAGTCCTCACAGAGTACAGGCAGTCGTGGTCGAGGCAGAGTGGAAAGCTTGGGGATGTCCATACACAAAAAACGAAGACACAGTTTGCACTAAGAAAGTTCCGTGAACAGATAAAAGTTGAGCTAGGAGCGAAAGATGGAGAGATAGAAGAGTTCTTACTGGTCTACATGGTCGATGAGATGGACCGTGGGTACAACCGACGAGGGCTCACGAAGATGGTGAAGTGACTGTAAAGTGACTGTATTTTTGGCTAAAGACGGGGGCCTTTTATATATTTTCCGAGAAAGGGAGTGTTGCATTTCAACAGATGCACACGAGGGTGGATCACGGGTGAAATTGTACTGGCGCCGTCCTGACAGTTTCCAATCTATCTTTAGATGTTGTTTTGTGACATCCATTTATCTCGATTTTAGACGTTTCTGACTTCTATCTCTTGCTTTAGTTCAACTCTTAATCTATTACAGAGTTTTATTTATTCATCCTCAGTTTGTACAAAGTACATTACATATGATGATGTAATCAACATGTCAATAATGCGTATAATCATTTACAGATGTGTTTCTATTATACAACATTAAAATCTAGTTATAAGTTATATACAATATGGGGTTGTTGGTTTAAATTACCATATATATATATATATGTGTATATACATATGTAAGGCAGTGTTTTATGATTTACTAGAGATAGGGATAGTCTTATATCCCTATATGAAAAAAAAAGATAAATAAATTTGTAGATGTCCAATAAATCTCCCCCAAAATACATGTTCTGGAGTGTGTGATGGATTATATCTTCTTCCTTCATCAATTAGCCTAATGTCGGCGGTTTGTAGCTCCGATTGGCGCTACTGGTGATGGATTGAAGTCATCACCCTGGAGCCTTCTCACCAGTTAGGATCAATACGTTCACTCATTGGCTGGCCGCTAGCCTTTTTGAATGACACTATGTTTTGTAACAGAATATATATCTAAAATTTAATGTAAAAAAAATATACATTAATAAAAAATAAGCTTATATTATTTTTGAGGTGAATATTATGAATGGTTCAATAAATATTTAAAATTTTTAACAGGAAGATTCAACAACGGAACCAAGCATTCAAATCGTCTTTGACAAGTCATAAGCTTGTCCAAGAAACAAAAGACAACTGGGGTAAAGTTGGTATTTCCTAATGTTCTACGTTAAATTTCGGTGGAGATGTTGAGTAGATTAGGGAAGACAAACTGAATATTACAGACCAGATAATTCCTGTTGCGAACTACGTTTTTTCCGCGATTAACTCCAGGATTCTAATTAGCGGATCATTAATATTGTCGCGCATTGCCCCTCCGGTTCTTCGCGACGACGCCGCTTCCTCCTTCGTGGATCACCTGCCCCGGGCTCCCGTTGCTTCTTCTCTGCAGCTTTACCCTACAGACCACCCAAAGACCTTCTGAGAACCACCACTAGAGTGGAACACTTTTTCTCTGGCAATATCTCTCGGCATTACCACTGGTGGGGGGACTTACCAGTAGAGTAGCAGAAGCGATGTTGGCGAGAGAGTCATGACAGCAACAAGACTTCTAACACTCCTCCTTTTTTATTGTCATTTCTACTTCACATTACATATAAAAAGAATAACAATTTTGAAGGCTCATATACGCGACAATATTGATATATTGTTGCACAGTATATTATTTTTATTGTTTCCCTTTTTTTAATGAAAATTCGAAGCTACAAGGGGGGATGAATAAATAAGGTGAAGTATTTTATTTCTTAAAAATTAAAAAAGCAAAAATAATTTAAACCACAGAATATTAAAATATAATATCGAGAGACTATTTAAGTAGTTCTGTTCTTTTTTCCCACGCGCGGTGCGAGACTTATAAATAAACTAAAATGGAAGCTCCCTTGAAGGATTGCACCACGCTTGAACAACGTGCAGTTATTCGTTTCTTGAATGCAGAAGGTATTCAAACATTTAAAATTTGCCAAAGAATGAAAAATATCTATGGTGAGTCTTGTTTGTCTAAAAAAACATTTATAAATGGGTTAACGAGTTCAAAAATGAACGAATTACATGTACCGATAAAAAAAATCAGGTCTCAACGTTCGGCCGGTAAAGTTTTGTTAACAAATTTTGGGATGTTGATGGATCAATCTGTCATGATTTTTTATCCTCAAGGCAACGTATGAACAGCGACCTTTATTGTGACATCCTTGTAAATAAGCTAAAGCCCGGTATAAGAAACAAAAGAAGAGGGAAGCTTAGTAAATTTGTTCTCTTCGCATACATCATGTAAAACTGTATCTACAATCATTAAATTAGGTTTTGAAGTTTTAGAACATCCTGCATATAGTCCAGACCTAGTCCCCTCTGACTATTTCCTTTTTGGACTACTAAAGAAGGAGTTAAAGGGAAAGTGATTTGACTCGGATGAAGATGTCCAGAAAGTGGTGCAAGAATTTTTTCACACGCTTCCTAAGAGTGCCTATAAAGAGGGTATTTACAAGTTGCCAGAACGATGGAGACGATGTATAGAAAGCCAAGGTGATTATTTTGAATAAATCAAGTCCTAATTTTTAATATCGTTCTTATTTTTTAAATAAATTATAATTCACCTTATTTATTGATCCCACCTTGTATTATAGACGCGTATGATTCTTTTAAAAATTAAACAATTTCTACTGCCCTTACTAAAATGGAAAAATTAATGGGAAGGCCTAGCTCATCAGTGGTGTATCCTCCAAGCGGTTTCGCCAGTTTAATCTACCATACCGCTCTTATATTGCATTTTTCGATCTTTTTTTATGTAACTTAGTTATTAATTGGTTTGATCAAAATAAATTGCGTTGTGTGATTCGCGTGTTTCCTTCATTTTTTAACATGACAATATTATGGAAACTAAAACATGAGAAATATTTCTGACATTGATTAGCTCTATTGGAAGTTCTTATCCATTTCTATTGACAATCTTACTAAGCATTTAAAATAAATCTATATATGAAATTCAAATCCAATCAGTATCTTTATAACTTATAGCGAAGATGATAATGATTTATAATAATGATAAGTAATGTTATAACTATGTATATTTTAAAAATAAGGCCTATTTTGGATTTTAATACGATTATTTATTAATCCGATATTTCGATGGATCAATCTTACATCTTTTACGAGGTGTTTTGCCGTGAAGCACGCAGCAGGTCGCGTGCCCCAGGTGAGCCACTAGACGTCTTCAAAGCTTATTGGGCGATAAACCATCTAATATATACATTTTAAACAGAGTAAATATAATCAAAAGAAAAAAGTAATATATGTAAATAACTATTGAAAATTAAGAGATATCGAATAAATTAAACAAATAAAATATCATAAAAATCGAAATGGCTGCGAAATAAATATACAAATAATAGTAATAAATATCCGATTTAAAAATGAAATATAATAAACATGTAAATAGCATAATCATCTAGGAGGTTCTAAACTGAGTATATACATCTGACAAGTCAATCTTTCTATTGATACTATTTCTATTTTCTAATGAGCTCCAGCTTTCTAAAAATAAACGGCAATGTTTTTCTTTGATAATTTGATGTATTATAGATGTGTGATCGAAGTCTGGAGTGTGACTATTGTTGAACGCGTGATCTACCAGTAGGGATGTCGGGTTATGGTGCTTTAGTGCGGATTTGTGCTGGTTAATTCTTTCAGATAAGGGTTTGCTCGTTTCTCCTATGTATATTGCCTGGCAGGATTTGCATGGTATTTTATAAACCACATTCGCTCTATCTTCTGGCTTGTAGATTTGTTTTGTATCAGGGTGACGGGGAAGATGCTTCTTAAATTCTGGTTGGGTTGATATCTGGTTGTAATATTGTGTTTTTTTTTAAACTTCTGGCTATTCTTTCACAGCCATAGCTGTAAGGTAGGGAGCAAAACATGTTCGGGGTTGAGATTTGTCTATTGTTCGTGGATGGAATTTTTGGTGCATATAATTGACCACGCGTTCAACAATAGTCACACTCCAGACTTCGATCACACATCTATAATACATCAAAATATCAAAGAAAAACATTGCCGTTTATTTTTAGAAAGCTGGAGCTCATTAGAAAATAGAAATAGTATCAATATAAAGATTGACTTGTCAGATGTATACACTCAGTTTAGAACCTCCTAGATGATTATGCTATTTACATGTTTATTATATTTCATTTTTAAATCGGATATTTATTACTATTATTTGTATATTTATCTCGCAGCCATTTCGATTTTTATGATATTTTATTTGTTTAATTTATTCGATATCTCTTAATTTTCAATAGTTATTTACATATATAACTTTTTCTTTTGATTATATTTACTCTGTTTAAAATGTATATATTAGATGGTTTATCGCCCAATAAGCTTTGAAGACGTCTAGTGGCTCACCTGGGGCACGCGACCTGCTGCGTGCTTCACGGCAAAACACCTCGTAAAAGATGGAAGATTGATCCATCGAAATATCGGATTAATAAATAATCGTTTTAAAATCCAAAATAAGCCTTATTTTTAAAATCTAAATGTATTATGGATTGCTCTATATTCAAAACTATGTATATATATTTACTTTGTGTATTCTAGATAGCTTTGACTATAGAGTAGCATATATGTGTAGCAGGTTCTGGCCTTTCA